CTATCTATCTATCTATCTATCTATCTATCTATCTATCTATCTATCTACCTACCTATCTATCTATCTATCTATAAATGTTTTTAGCATTACATATGCTAAGCAACTTCAGTAGTACTGACCCTACTCCTTTAGAAGTTTAAAATGATTATATTTTCCCTCTCTCTTAATAACTCCCCAGTAAACCCCAAACTCAAGAAAATAAAATTAAAGTAAAAACATGAAACTCACCAAATCCTAAAAAACAAACAAACAAAACAAACAAACAAACAAAACAAGTTCATGCACACACACTACATAAACACACACACAAATACACACACACACACACACACACACACACACATCCACACACACACACCCCTCAAACAAGCAACCACAAAGTATGGAGTCTTTTGTGGTGGTTACCTACTCCTGAGCATGAGGCCAGCCCTGAAGTACAATTGACAGTTTTATCTTTCCCAACAAGTATTTATTACTAATAGCTTCTTAGTAAGAGGAGGAATTTTGGGCCTACTACTCCTTCTTGGTGATATATTTTGTCTGGCTTGAATTTCTGTAGGACTTGTAAACGCCCACACATGTGTTTATATGTTCCTCAATCCATGAAGCTGGATATGTAGGGGGGTAGAGAGGATGCATTGCATGACTGTGTGCAGTGCTACACACCTTTAATCCCAGCTCTTAGGAGGCAGATTCTATCCATTGTTCTAGATATCCTCTCTTATTAATTCATTATTACATGTATTCCATCTTGCCTCCCTTAACGTCTCTTCCTTCTATTCTCATGAATCTCTTCTTAGTTACACACACAACAACAGACACACATACAGAGACAGGCAGACACATACTGAGAGATACAGACACACACACATACATACACACACAATTTTAAATATGAATTCCATATATGAGATAAAACATGTAGCATTTGTCCTTGTTTGCCTAGTTTATTTTGCTAAATATGATGATTTTTAGTTTTATTTGTTTTCTAAAATATGCCATGATTTAATTTTCCTTCTATAATTTCATAATATAATATTTTCATTGTCTATTCATTTGTTGATAGACTGGTTCTATTTTCTGGTTATTATGTACAGTACACCTATACACATGGCAGTATAGGTGTCTATGGTGGGCTGGTTTATAACCCTTTGGTTATAAACGAAAGCTGAGTTCTATGGCAGCTCCAGTTTCCTGGGTCTTGAATAGCCTCCAGCTGGCTCCCACGGTGGCTGTGCCAGTGCACATTCTCAGCAGCAGGGTAAGGAGTCTCTTCTGGGGAGCAGCAGCATTTGTCATTTAGTTTGGATAAGAGCCTCACATGGTAAGAGAGACAGGACATTTGCTTTAATAAGCATCTCTCTGATAGTGTGGCACTCCGAGCATTTTGATAACAATTTGTTAGCTGTATGTATGTATTCCTTCTTAGGAAAACTATCTACTCTGTTCAGTAGGTCATTGTTCTTTTTTTCTTTATCTTTAATCAGCATTTACTACTGAGACTGAATTGAAAATGTTTCTCTGTATTACAACCTAATGATCCAGACTCATTGTAAGAGTTTTGTTTAAATTTAAGAGCCATCACATAGTTAGTACCTAGGCTAACTGAAATGAAGCTTTTATCGATTAATACTTTACATTACCAGATAAAAGTTCTCATTATGAAGTTCATTTCAAAATACAACTTTTAACATTTTTAAAATGCTGATAGTTTTTGTTTGTTTGTTTGTTTTCTTTTGGAGACAGAGTTTCTCTGTAACAGTCCTAGCTGTCCTGGAACTAGCTCTTGTAGACCAGGCTGGACTTGAACTCACAGGGTTTCACCTGCCTCTGCCTCCCGAGTGCTGGGATTAAAGGTGTACGCCACCATGGCCCAGCAAAATGCTGATAGTTTTATGAAATAATTTCTTGATCAACTAATCATCTACAACCTACAATTTAGTAATGCTACTGTATTAAAATATTTATTAAATAAAAAGTACTGTGATATGAATAAGCACTAGGACATTTAAATGTTTATACTTTTATGTTATTTATGCTTTCTGAAGGCTCTTCTTTAAAAAACAATTTGAAGGTGTGTGAATTAGAAATATTTATAGGTATATTTAATATATATATATAGAGAGAGAGAAGAGACACAGACAGATATAGAGACAGAGTTGTTCACACACATAAAGTGTGTAGTCTAAAAGTATGAGGTTTTCCTTTTGATAATCTAGGTACTTTAAAAGTCTACCGTTTGACCCTTTGAGAGCTATGAGCTCTACTTTCATCCTGTTTCAAGGTTTCCTTCTCATGAGGAATTTGAGCATTCAGGCCTAGGTAAGATGTCTTTCTTCATTCAAATTCTACAGCACAAATTACCTGTGAGATTGATTTGATACTTACAATGTACTTCTTCTTGCTGTACATATCTGTTAAAATACGATTTTAAGACAAGGGAGAGAAAATGCCGTGTGGTCTTTCCCTTTGCAGATCTTTTGTTCAGAAATAATTTATGTGATACTAAACACCTAGTGACAAACATAACATTTGCTACTTCTGGGTAGGGCATTGGTTTGATTGTAGAGTACTTGCCTAGAATGATTAAAAGCTTGGGTTCAATCTCTAGCACTGCATTAAAAAAAAAAAAAAAGAAAGAAATATTCTTTGATTTCTGAGTTCCCGGGTTTTCCCCCGCTAGGCCAGTCTTTTAATTTAAATCAAAGTCAGTCAAAACCACTATTACCCAGTATTTTTCATAACAAGAAAATTATCCAAAGTGTGTGTGTGTGGTGGTGTTGTCAATCATCATTGTGGGAGGGGATTTTTTTTTCTGAGAAGCTAGTCCCATTGGGTTATTAAAATGTACATGAAGGTAGGATTTGCACCTTGAACTTTTAATCTCAGCATTCAGAAGGGAGAGTAGGCAGATCTCTGAGTTAAAGGTCAGCCTGGTCTACAGACCAATTTCCAGAACAGCCAGGGTACACACGGAAACCCTGTCTTAAGAAACAAACAAACACAACACAACAAAACAAACAACAACAAAACCCACAAAACCAACACAGCAAGAAAAGCACACGAAGTCCTTTGGTAATGACCTATTGTAACTGAGCATTTGGTAAGGACCTATTGTAACTGAATATTCTGAAGAATCACTCACCTTTGGGGCAAATATCAGTGCAAGGTTTACACATTTTAATTCCATTTTCTTCTACTTCCATCTTGGAACTAGGACATGCACGCACACAAGAACTGGAATCTACCACGAAGTTATCTGATTAAAAATTCAAATAAAAATGTTAAAGTTAAACCATCAGCCTTAAAAAGAAGATAGTTTATGATTTAGAAATAGTTAGCATCTGTCTCTAAAACAAGTCCTGTAAATACCCCAACCTGAAGCAATCTCTCCATTGCCTGCATTCCACTCCAAGAGCAGTGTGTGCTGAGATTGAGTACCTGCTTGACGACTGCTCCACATTCCAGATTGCCCCCAAGATGGAGCGATCTTGTTTGTAGACTTAGGAAACTACATTATGTTTAGTTTGCGTTTTTCAACAGTTCCACTTCATTTCACGACATTATGCGAGCTGGAAGTCTAAAATACTTCAAGTTCATGAAGCGCAAATGAAGCTGAAGTTAAACCACCTCGGATCAAGAGGGGGTTCTGCAAGTCCAAGAGGAAATGTTTAAAAGGTATCCAGTGTTTTATTTGAGTGCCAGCAAACCCTTGTGCTACATAGTGAAAATGTGAAAGATTTCACTTTAGCAAAAGTGTACAATTAAACAAGGGACACCTTATTGCTTAGACTTGGTGACATGCATAGGAAATCAGCAATCTGTGAGATGTCAGTATTTTCTCTTTAAAATAAAGAATACATTTCTGCATCTAGAGCTCTCAGAAAGAGAGGAGCATCACGATGTTTGCAAGGACGGTGGTTTGGAATGTACACTTCTGGATCTATATACAAAACTATGAAAGACACCAAACATGAGGTGTGTACAAAGCAGAAGGGACCTGTGGTCTTAGTAATTCTGCTTTATGGCCATACATTCCAAGTCTTTCTGTGATATTTCATCATTATTGGATAGCTAATGACATACAGAGTTATGAAGAAGTTCTAGAGAAAACTAACAGAGACCTCTAAGATTTTGAGAGTCTAGGCATGGTGTCTATGGTAAAGGATTGTATACCAGTTAACAAACAGCTCCTTAAATGCTTTCTGGACCTGATAGAGACTGAACCTAACCATTGGTCAGTGTTGATTTAAGGTCAGCATTTCCATAATCAGCAATGCTTGAAGAAAAGCACCCAGACAAGGCAGTAGAAGGCATAAAGTCAGAAATAAGGGAAGGTCTTCTTAATGGGACATTTTCTAGGTAATTACTAATAACCCAGTTACTTTGTATAGAGAAAAGAGTCACTCAAAAGCCCTAGATTGCTCTGCAAGAAGAAAGATTGGAACTTCTGAAAGGTAGGGGGTATCCAAGGTAGAAGAATGGTATGATCTGTAGTCGATAATGTTCCCTGTAACATCACACTTTAAAGACTAGACCTCCAGTTTTTGGCTGTGACTGTGACCCTTTCAAATGTAGACACTGCAAGTTGGAAGTAGTTTATTACCAAAAGGCTTTGGAAGATCACAAAGGCTCTGATTCTTACCTGCCTTGGGCCAACTCTCAATGCAAGAAAAGAGTCTTTGCCAAAAGCTCCAGTACACGCACTGGATCCCTTCCATGCTCTATTTCAGACATTGTAAAATAAAAATGAACCTTTCCCCTCTTTCATTGCTCCTGACAGGCATCCTAATCACAGTAACACAAAGGAAACTAGTACAAGGGGCATCACTCATCGGGGTAACCACATGTACATACTGCAAGGTATCAGTCTTAGAGCATCCACCACAATGGACTCTTTGTAGGATGCACAGAAGCCTGACCATTCTTTTTTTCTTCAACAAGTTGAGTTTTTGTATTTCAGGACACTAAACACAGTGTAAGACCTCTGTTTAGAAGATAAATGACTTTGTTTCCACAAATGGTTGAAGTTTGGTAAACTGATTCCGGTGAGCAGTTTACAGAGGGTCTTAGTGTTGTAGTTTAAAAGTAGCGAAGGACCTTCAACTGATTAAAAGAAGTATATTCCAACTTTCTCTCTCTCTCTCTCTCTCTCTCTCTCTCTCTCTCTCTCACACACACACACACATGCACACACACACACATACACACATATCCTACAGAGTGCAAAGCCTCCAGTCATATGAGTATATAAGTAAATGTAGTTATTAACTTTAAAATTTTTAAATTACCTTATTAGACTCTCAAATAGGTAAAAGTCCCATTGATCACTAAAACCAACAGATGTCAATATATATATGTACACACACACAGATATATATCTATACATATGATCATATATAAATATATAATCACATATGCTATTTAATATGTGATCAAAATAGTGATGGTTTTCTTGAATCATTAGCATTTGTTATCAGTTTGCTAAATATCACTTAACAATCTTTATATATGTTCAATTATTTTGGCATATATTCTAATATAAGTAAAAATCAGCAACACATATTAAACCCAATTATATCACTATCTAACCTTATTTATCATACAGATTTCTGCCAAACAATGATCTCTTCTAAGAAACAGTGTCACGTGTTGAAAAACAAGGTATAGAGAAAATATCAAGTGTTTAGGAATCTCTAAACCACCATTCTAACTTCAAGTATTGCACGACCTTATGTGGCCAGACAAATTAGATAAGTATGTTGATTCTTGTTTCCTCTTTTTGTGAAATATAGTCTCCTGAACCCTCAGGCAATGTAAAATAATTTACCAATGTTATTATTCAAGTTTCAATGAAAACAATCATACATGAACCTCGCATTTTTCAAGTAGAGCTTTAATTATTTGATATGTCTTAGTTTGCTACTTACGTGGGCATTTTTTGACACAGAAAGCTCCATATGTATACTTTGCATTGAAATTGTGCTCCAGTTGAAAGGTGGTGGGATTGTAGACGAACGTCTGGGGGCACTGAGTGACGCAGGCTCCGCTGTCGTTGAAGTTCATGCAGGCCTGTAACACAGCAAATCCATTTATAAATAACTTTCCTTTTATTCTTGTCAACAAACACACTGCTATTATCTTATAAACACTGCCAAAACTGATAACCTTGAAGTCACTGTGCCTTTAAGTTTTCATCAATTTCTTACCCTCTCTGTGCCAGAAAACACTATTATCTCTGTTTACATGAATGCAGAGTAGCATGTATTTAACACAGTTTTAAACTAAGACTTGGTGGATAGTGTTGAATGTATACAAATTTTACAGATTATTTGCGTTCATACTGATTAAAAATACCTATTTTAATCTTTCCTGTCAGTGTATGTCTTCAGTTCTATAGATCTGGCAATCCCATGCCTTATGTGTCATATTAAGTTCAAATATCTTCATTCTAGAGTAGGAAACAAAATGATTGTCATTGATTTACCTGAACTTAAGGAGAACTTGGAGACTGACCAAGTATAATGCTTAAAACACTAAAATGTGAAGAACTTGAGAGCTGTCACTAGCCTGTGTTTAAATAAAACGATATAATTTTTCATAATGATACATCATTTATGGTAGCCACCAGGTTCAAAAGGCATTTGATTTTTAATAATATAAATTTGTCTTCTGACGTGTTTTTATTCATATTTTCAAATTCACTTGAGAAGAATTTAAAATAATTTTCCTACCTGAGAGTTGTATTTTTGATATCACAAGAAAACACATATAAACATGTGACTAAAAAACATGAACAATCTCATCCTTTTAGTTAAGAAATGAAGCTTTCCTGTGAATAGCTGAGGCCTCGTAAAAGAGATAGCATGAACCAAAGCTCTATTTTACATTTCATTATAAATTGTCTTATGGTTATTAATAAGAATTAATTTATTCTGCTTTCTCACAACATTTGCGTCATCAATTGTTTCAGCAAACACTTTATCACAACATGACAATTATCTCACGGTGGTCTACAAGATACATAATCAGAAGGAGACTCACTGATGATACATTACTCACTAAAATGACACTTCATAGGAAGACTCCATTAAAAAGCAATCTAGAAAACTCAGTAAGTTTTAATTTATGACCATGAAACATCATGTGTTCTTATAATTGAATTACTAACACATTTTCTGCACTGATATGCAGTGTATGTAGACGGCTTTGGAACAAGGGAATATAAGCCAGAGGAATGGAGCAAATTTACCTTCCAGTTAACACACAACCACGATGTAACTTACACCAAAGCATCAGTCTGGCATTCATGAACATTCTGTATTAAATGCCAAGTAGAATCACTGGACCATTCCAATATAGTAATGAAATGAGAGCTCTCAAGAGCACCTGGTACTGCTTATCACAAGAATACAAGAGAAGGGGCACAGTGCCACATCCTACACGAAGAGGTTTTCCTACTGTTTACCACAGTGCTGGCTTTGGAATCATTAATGCAGCACCTGCAGTGTGCCGTATCTTTAAAATCAAGTTTGGTCCTCTCTTGACTATGCCGATGACAGAAAAGAAAGAGCTCTCAGTTTGGCTGCCAAGGCTCTTCCTTAGATGTGTAACATCTATTCTTTGCTTGACTTCAGTTCACCAGACTTAGTGTTGTTTCACCATAGAATCACATTAGACAAATTAAGATTCTCATAATTTTTAAAATTTAAAGAATAGTTACAGCCTCAGTGCTTTAATTTTTATTTTGTTTATTAGATAAAGTCTCAATTCTTTAAAAATTTTAATGTTAATATGTATTTGGTACAACAAAATAAATTTCTAATATGTGTCAGTAGATTTTTCAAGAAATGGAAAAATAATTTGTTGTACTCATTTTAAAAATAAAACAGTGTACTGTTTATTATTTTAGATTAAAATTAGTATTGTGGTTTATGAGTGTGAATAAATCATCACTTACAAAGTTAAATATGTATTTCAAAGAACAAAAACTTATATCAAGGATATAATATCAAATATAATTTAAAAATTTACAACAAACTATAAATGTTAGTGTTATTGAAATAAAAATATTCTCTTCAAAAATATTAACCATATGGTTTATCACATAAATAGGTTTAAAATAGGTTTAAATAAACATGTCTATATTTTATAAATAGAAAATATTAGCTTGTTAACAATACAAACTGTAAAATATCTAAATGCATCAATTTGTCTGATATAACCTTGAAATTGATATTCAGGAAGCAAGCCATCCTCACTTATGAAACCTAATAATGCAACAACACAAAGCGATAAGCACTGAATATGTGGAAATTATTTTTCAATTTCTGGAAAACATCCCAGCATGTTTTCATTCATGTTCTTCAATATATTCATGTCACACATAAATTATATCAGAAAGTCAGAAATGATCTCACTGGTACAAATTCATTCTGTTTAATCAATAGTCAACTCAATGTAGAATGCCTTTTATAGTAATAAAATGATCAGACTTAATCTTAATATAATCCAGTGTTAAATATTCAATGTGAGTCTGATTTAGAGAGAGAGAGAGAGAGAGCGAGAGAGAGAGAGAGAGGATCCCTAAACATACAAAGCAGTCCGTGTCCTTCGGTCCTGAGCAGCCGCCAGCACATTCCCGATGGCAGCAGTCACTAACGTAGGGTCCATAGCACCTGCCATCACACTGTTCAGCACACACAGTCCTGGTCACTGTAGAAGACAGAGACAGGGTCTCAATCAAAGCCATCCACCAACAAATCTATGTTTGTGACAACAAAACATGTGTTCTGGAACAACAGCTTATTCCATCTAATATTGACTAACTGAATCTGTAATTAGAAGGAAGTTACTATACAAAAGCTTCATTCATGTGCATATATATATATGCATAATTATTTATGTATAACATTATTTGTGTTCAACAAATAGTTATAATTTTTTACAAACATTATTGTATACGTTTAATAAGTTCAGAAATATTGGAATGAACATTGACATGGCTAAACCCAAGTTTAGGAAGTCTCTGGGGAGAAAAAGCTCTCAGGCACTCATTTAAGGTGTTTAGTACTCAACAGACAGAGAAGTAAATTATCAGTTGATTTCATTATATGATACATGAAAAAGGGATAGAAGAAAGAAACGAAAGAAGGAAAGAAGGAAAGAAAGAAGGAAGGAAGGAAGGAATGAATGGGAAGGAAGGGAGTAAAGGAGGAAGGAAAGAAAGAAGGAAGGAATTAATGAAGGGTGAAAACACAAGAAATCCTTTTGCTTGTCTTTTCTTACTCATTAAGCCAATCCACAGCATCAAATCACTATATAATTTAATAACAACAATGCACAGATGGGGTACTGAAATTATAGAAAAGGGGCACACTCTATGTATTTCCATTACTCATAAGACATACTTCCCAAATACTTTCTTAGTATGAACACTACAAAGTACAGCAGCATATCACTCCAAGCCTTCTTGATTTACATTTCTGACAGGTTTCTTGGATATCATTTCTTGGACTAAGCTGTTTTGACAGCACTTATATCATAGGCTACATTCATTTTCATCACAATCAATGAAATGCTCTAACTGATCCATAGCTCACCTAGAAATTAAACGTAGGTCTTCTAGTTCTCTTTTCCCTATCACTTCTGATATCAGAGAAAATCAGCAAACATTATCAATTCTGTTTCATTACATTTTATTACGTTCTGTTTCTATACTAGTTTATACATATCTATAAAGTTTTTCATTCTTTTCTAAAGAGCTTCTTATTTTTCCTTCCAATTAATCCTCTATGTTGATCAGAAGAGATAGTTTAAAAATAGAAGACATTGGTTGATTCAGTGTTGATTCACAGTATAAAATATTTGCTATCCTTGTACCAAAGGCTTAAATCCTTAGCAAAAAGTAAGAATTCTCCATTAATCTATGAAAGTTTCTACCTCCACTGGAGTCATTCAACACTGCCTGTCTTTCTCAAATGTACAAAAGACACACTACTTCACACTACTCCTTGGACTGACACCCATTCTATTGCCAGCTTAAAAGTGGCATTTATCCACCTTTAAAGTGTTCCTGTCTTCTCTGTTAAGTAACACTTATTTTGAACCTTCACTAGGCCTGTATCCAAGCTGAACGTCTCTATTACTCTTTTGTTTTTTTAGAACAGGAAGATGAAGTTCACTTAGCAGTCCAGGTTTCTGAAATCTAAGGTTCTCAAATCTAAGCAAACTCAACTACATTATATCTGATGTTATTATTTCAACAATAGGACTAGAATGATCTCTGTGGAATCATCCTTCTGTAAACTGAGTGGACATATGTCACTATGATTGGTTTAATAAACAACTGACTGGCCAATATCTGAGCAGGATAAGGTTAGGTAGGAAATCCAAACTGAGAATGGTGGGATGACGAAGGGTTGAGTCAGAAGAGTCACCAGCCAGATGGAGAATGATATAGTGGTAAAAGCAATGAGCCTTGAGGCAGCACATCGATTCAGAGAAATAGGTTACATTGTAAGAGATAGTTAATAATAAGTGTGAGCTATTGGACAAGCATTTATAATTCATATTAATTCTCCTCTTCTTTCTCCCCTTCATTGTCCTTCTCATTGTCATTTTCTCTTTCATTCTTACTTTTACATTTTCTCTTTCCTTCCGTATTTTGTCATCTAACACCATCTAACATACTTTCCCTTCATTTGTTACATTTCTCTGTTTGTGATGAATTTCAATTTTTAGAACTGTCATATTTATATACTTGCAAAATTATATAATATATAAGTATATATAATACATGTCATAAATATATGTCGATAAATTTGTTATAACTTCTAAAACTTGTCATTAGCATATACTATCCTTATACTATTCCTTCTAATGATTAAGTAAGTTCTCCATTCTCTTATATGTACAAATCAGTAATTCAAACTACATAATTGAAAATCTTTTCACACATAGTTCTATCTTTTCATAAATAGTTTTATAAAATATGCATCCGAATATATGCTTGCCGTGCACAGACAAAAGCTCTTTCATTAGATTGAAAGTAACTAAAATAGCAGACATATGTTAAGTAAACAAAATACTTCATGTCAAATAAGCCATAAGAGAACATTTCATTGTTTGTTTCTAGGTAACTAGCGTTGCTCAGCTGGAAACCATCAGCTCAAAACCCAGAGCAAACATGTCCTGTGAGCAGCACTGTATATAATTCTAGACACCTATATCCAAAGGTAAATTTTATTTATAACTGTCTTGATTCATGGTAATATGCAAAATGTTTCAATTTTTCTTTATTTATGTTGTCCTTCCTTGACAAGTGAGAGAGTCAATATACAAAACATTTAAATGATAACATTACTAATCAGAATTTATTTAAATATTATTAAATGGTTATATCAAGGTCTTTACTCTCACTGTGAACAGTAATTATGCATGAAAATAACGGGCTAAAATTTGTAAACTTCACAACCACGATTATTCTCAATTGATTATAATCAATTAAATATTCTCGATTATGAACTCAAACACATTCTGTTTTCTGTAATGAATAAAGTTCAAAAATTTGAAAGTCACAATATCTTTCATATTATGGCCAAATATCTCAGATTTTCCAAGACATTTATAGGTCTTATATTCTGTTCCATTTCTGGGAAAGGTAAAGAAACATCCTTCTAATTTTTTTATCCAAACAAAAATCCTTGAAAAAAGAAAAAATTCTGCATCTGTGCATAGAAAACCCTCCAAAAACTGCTGGACCTGCACACGATTCATGGGAAATATATCCTTCAAGATATTCCTTGAAAATTCCTTCAAAGCTATTGACCAAGTGTTCCAAATGGAATTAGGGGTCAATTTAGAAACAAAGCAAGAAAAATTCTATCAAAAACAAACTACTGGAATCCTCAGGTGGTTTCTTGGCATTTTTTTTTAAAAGTTTATTAAATTATGAAAGTTTTCATTTCCGCCCCTCCTCCCACCACCCTCCCACTCCCCCCTCCCCCTCCTCCTCCCTCTTCATCCCTAAGAGCAGTCAGGGCTTCCAACCCTGTGGGAAGTTCAAGTTCCTCCCCCCTCCCTCCAGGTCCAGGAAAGTGAGTATCCGAACAGACTGGATCCCAAAAATCCAGTACATGCAGAGGAAACAAGTCCCAGTGTCATTGTCAGTGGCTTTTCAGAAAGGCTCCGGACCAGCCACATTCAGAGATCCGGCCACATTCAGAAAATCTGGTTGGATCACATGCTCGTTCAGTCCCGGTCCAACTGGCCTTGGTGAACTCTCATTAGATCAGTCCCCTTGTATCAGTGGGTGATTGCACCCCTTGCGGTCCTGAGTTTTTTTCTTGGCATTCTTTCTTATGCAGGAGATACAGGAGTTGAAGAAAAAGTACAATGACAATCCAGGAAGGGGTTTAGGCCTAGCAACTCTGCAAAAACTCTGCCATCTAAAGAGGATTGTGAGCCTATTTGTACCTTGTCTGAAAGTCAAAGAGTTTCAGTTTGCTCCAAGTTATTAACAACAAATATGACAATACGCCCTAACCCAAGGGGTTTTTTTTTGTTTTTTTTGTTTTTTTGTTTTTTTTTATAGGGGAGTTCAGCCAATCATATTCTGTTTGTGGGGCGTGTAGCCCTTAGGCTAAAGCTTGCCTATAAACCTGGCAAGTGTGCTCCCCCTAGCTCTCTCCCCTGGGGACTCACTCAACAACAGAATGCTAATGACCTGATGTCTCAAAGTATTGACACAAATAATCTTTCTAGTTGCCCTTTGTATCCTGTTAAAGCAGTCTTCTTTCCCCTTTGGTGTTGGGGTATAAAAGTATATAGAAAATTAAACCCAAGCAGATTTTAATAGTCACTGGAACTTTCTCCCTCTACTATCCTGTTTGTATTTCATTGTTTTCACTCACATCTTCGTGCTCTTTCCTAACTTTTCTAATCCCCACTTCCCTACCCCGGTAAGTTGTATAATACTAGTCAAAGATGGTACCAGGCAGAGGTTGATGCAATTCTGCATCAGACCAGGTAAGGAAGATTGATGAGGAACACCTGAATGTTGAAGTTTCACACACTACAGCAAAAATGCTGGAGGAAATGCAAAATGCATGGACAGTTGATGAAAGAGAAAGATAAGAAGTACCAGAAGCCTGTGAAATCATTCACTGAGAACGAAGGTGGAGAAGGAACAGGCCCAGCGGAGGGAGGTGCAACTGAGGACTACTGAGCACAAACTTTAGGAACAGACTCAACCATGAAATGAGGGATTCCAGAAGAAAAACCAAAGACTTCAAGGTGAGGTCAAGGACTCACCAGAAACAGAAATAAAGTGTGAATGCGGCAGAAGCTACGACTGAAAGAAAAGCAGAGTGTTTGTTTTAGCTAAAGCAAAGGTGAACAGGACATAGAACTTGGAACCCATGTCACTTGGGCACCACGCGAAAAAATAAAATCCACAAAGGCATGCAGTGCAATCATTGAAATCTTGTTTATCTTTCTAGAAGATTGTGTACCAAGGGTGCCATTAGGTAGCCACTAGAGGAGATGTCTCGACAGCATAGCTAGAAAACAGTTGTTTTCCCAGGTGCTCCCCAGGGTACAAGTGGACACTGAGCACACCCTTAAATGTTGGCTCATGATTAGGAACCAAGATGTTCAAGCGTGTGATGGGTCTGAATGACAGCCTCATTCCTTACCGGAGACAGTGTAAAGTT